ACCAGACTACACAGCGCAACAACCCAGAAGACGGAAATCTTCATACTCATCGCCCTGATGACGGAGGCAGTATGACCTCTGAAACGTTGGTAAACATCGACCAGACTACACAGCGCAACAACCCAGAAGACAGAAATCTGCATAATCATCGCCCTGATGACGGAGGTAGTATGACCTCTGAAACGTTGGTAAACATCTACCAGACTACACAGCGCAACAACCCAGAAGACGGAAATCTTCATACTCACTGCTGTGGAAACCTCAAATCTTACAACACCAGTGTTACTTTCACCTCAGAATTTCACATTTTTATAGCTGTCTTTTCCTTTCGGATGCCAGTACAAACTCTTTCATATTTTGACCTATACAGTTAAATAGGTTTCCGGACATAATCATGTCTAATGTAAACAGATGAAGCATTAGAAATTAAATAAATGACGCGTTAATCTCAAGTGGAATCTGTAAACGAATGAATTATTGTCTACAGCCTAACAGCGGTTTGGAGGTAAAGCTCCACACATTCACGACCACAACAGTAAATGTAACTCAGACCGCTTGTCTCGAACGAAGGAGGCCCATTTAGACTGGAAGCTGGGTTAGTTAGTTAGTTAACCGAGCATTTACGGCTTACAGCAGAATGATTAATTTGTTCTACAGAGTTAATTTGTAGACTGGAGTAATTTTCACAATGGCACAGTGCTATAGGACGAGAAGTTCATACTTTAAAACCCGCAAAACGTGCAAGATAAAATAAATTTACTAAAGAAATTTGATCGTTGAACGGAATGTAATTTGCATCACAATTACGATCTCATTCAAAGAAACGATCGTCCGGAAAATCGGAAATATTCGGCGGGGTCCTAGAACCCTGAAGAGGAATTTTGAGGTCAATGCCACTACATTCCACAGATTCTCAGTGCAGGGTGTTTTTATTTTAGTATATAATAATATTTGATAGGGAAGTATAGAAGCCAAAAAGGCTAAAAATATATTTACCTGCTACGACATTACTGGTGTGACTGCATGCTACAGTTATTCCACGTTGCAGCCAGGCCATCGACGTACTCCATCGCGATTAGATCTCAATACTATAATTATAAACATAATTATTATGCTTACCGATTGTAGTGGACAGCGCTATAAGCGGTGGGCGGAATCGAGCAGTATATAACAGCTTTACTACAGTCTGACTTTTTAGTCATGACTGCTGAATTACGCATCAGGGGAAGCCCGCAATGCCTGCTGCATTCCTTTCTCCTTAACTAAAAACTGTAAAGCGAACGGCGACAAGATGGAATTGAATGATACTTTTCGCTCACTGTTTTGTGACAAACAACACTGCTTAGATCCTGATCTGTTGGTTTACACTGTCCACTGAAGGGCAGATTTGTCCGTTAGTGGGAGGCTCTTCTAATTGTTCGACAAACCCATGACGTCATTATAATGTTGACGATGTGTGGACTCGTGATAGATTCCAAAGGTTCGGAGAAATATAATGTTAACATCTTACCCGGTGTCCTACGTGAGTGATTAAGTGTGAGCGGTGCGAGTTGCGTGGGTGAAGCGGAAATATCAAACTGGCTGTTTGTGTGGCGCTGTCCTATGTTACAGCGAAGCGGTCGCCGGCCAAAGCCGAGATCAAATATTTTGATATTTTCGAGCAGGTCGCTGCGCTGGCCAGTAAGGCGCATGCGCAAGGAAGCTCTGACTGTGCATGCGCAGGAAGGCCGTGTGTTTCTCTCACGCAGGACACAACAAGCGATTTTCTTATGTCATATGACACCCCATGCTGCTTATGCAGCTCGCACAGCTCGCTTCTCAAGATTAAACCCATATTAACGTAGCAGCTATTTCAATGCAGCCATAAAGCCTGGTCATAGAAACATGCAAACATTTTTCAACATAGTACCGCAGTATCGACAGTCATCTGTCCTAATATGAAAAGGTCGATTCGTCAGGACTTTAATCATCTGCAAACATATGTCCATACGATATGTACAGTGCACATGTTACTAAGCCAAAGCTGGAACACTTTTTCACGCTAAAGATAATCATCAAAATATTTCAACTGTGTGCTCACAGATTAATTTTATTTTACGGAGTTTAAACGCAGCGGGCAATCGAAACTTTTTATCATATTATAAGGTATATCATATATTGGGGGTGTTAGAAAAATATGACTGAAGAATTGAGGAAAGTAACATTTAAAGGTATAATCTGTCACTCACGTAAAGAAACTGAGAAAAAATACAAAAACCTCTACCAGAACAGACGGTAAATGACCGAGATTTAAACCAGATACGTCCTGAAAGTGAGTCAGACGTGTTACCGCTACGCTAACCCCAGCGGTCGATCAACTAAATATGTTACCAAAACTACAGGGAATTTGAGGCTTCAGGACATCTGTAAAGGACCAAGAATAACATCATCCTGTCAGGATCTCAGACACTACTCTAGAATTAGGGACATGAAAGTGAATGGATGTAAGGTCCATATCGTAATTCTTTTTTATCAGATCTTCAGAGGTTCAGCTGTATTTTATCTTCATGGGGGGTAGCCCCTAGCATAACTTCTAATTTGTTGATTACGGTGCAGTGTAGGATGATAGAAATAATCAAATACATCCCGGACACACACGTGGTGCGGTAGCGCTGAGCCAGCCTGCTCTGTCGATGTAAGCACAACGCCAAACAACTTGCGCACTACGCCATATTAGTGCCACGTAACTTCCAACAGACAGTAAACGGCAAAGTCCTGGGTTCATTTGAAGTGAAAAGGGTGGATATATTAGTTTGTAAACGTTGCTGGTCGCTGGATGTCAAAGTTCATTAACGAATGGTGTCATTAAAAACATTAATATCCATAACAAAGAGAGAGTAACACTAATTTTGGGGTTATGTACTGAAATTAATATGAAATTAAAACAGTGGGATTTTTTTAGGCAAGGACAGTTCAACTCTCGTCTTCCCCCAACATGCGTGATAATCATAGTATTTTTTAAATCCAACTAAAATGGGCTTGTAACAATTAGTAATAAATTAAGAAATAAGTCCGTGGGCCTGGCTGTAGTGGTACCATGTCTGACGTAGCCACTCTGTTTTACGCAAAGCAAGTCAGGTCTGTTGCCGAGTTATTCAGAATAGATGGTCAGAAGGGCCACTGTAAAAACCAGCACGATACGAAATGTTTCAAAAGATTAAAATACACAATCCTAGTCATGCACACTTAAGGGATGAATACTCACAGAGTGTGTCTGAGAATGGATCTACGTGGGACAGGAGGGTGGAGAAAACCGAACGTACCCCATAATTAGTAAACTTCACTCACCAAATATTCTTAGGATGATCAAATCTAGGAGGATGAGATTGGCAAGGCACGTAGGGCGCATGAAAAAATAAGAAATGCAAACAAAATTATTTTTAAGATGATAATGTTGCGTCATATTGTGTTGAATATATACTTGCTCAATTTTATCAGTCTAATCACAATAAAATATTATTATTAAAAAACATGTAGTGTAAAAGATGATGCTCTAATGTAAATCGAACATTTCGATAGAGAGCATCATTTTAATATATTTTAAATATTTAAATGTTAATTGTAATAATATTTTAATATTTAATAATAATATTTTATTGTGATTAGACTGATAAAATTGAGCAAGTACAAAATTATTTTTGTAAATTCTGAAAAGAAGATACAACTCGGGATACCAAAGAATAGATGGAGGATAATATTAAAAGGGATCTTAGGAAGAAAGGTTTGAAGGTTGTGGATTTTATGTATCTGGCTCAGGATATGAACCGTTTTGTACACGGCAATGAACCATCAGTAGCCATAAAATGCGAGTAATTTCTGGACAAGCTGGGAATACTATTACTTTTAAGAGGACTGTACTACAAATCGAAGACAATACGTAATAAGATAAAGTATTTATAAAGAATCTCATTCACTTTTTGGTGGGGCTCCATTCTCCGTTTAAATGGTACAAGTGATCACGACTTTATCATAACGATCTACTAGTTCCGCCTTATTAGAGGAGCTACAATTTGTAATGACGTCACTGGCTAGGAACTTCGTTCAACAATTCGCGATAATCGACGTTTAATATGGGGCAATCACAACTGTTGAAGCATTAAGATAATCGCGCACTATGCTACAATCTTACAAATACGGGTCTAAGGCGTCATTAAATAAGTTATTGATACATTTGATTCCGGTAACTGCACGCAGTTAAAATATTCTGGCTGGCTAGCTGGATGGATGAAATTCTGTTAGTAGCATAGCGCTTTCAAAAGCTGGTGCGATCGGAAAGTTTCAAGGCTGTGTCAATAGAGGGCGAACCGGATGTAGTACGAGCTTCTGCCGCTAGGAGTTGCGGCCTACATTCATAGTGAATCAGTGTGCCAGCCGGCATTATCGAATTAGCATTTGTTTCTTAGTTACGGGCGTTTTGGTAGTGCGATTTCGGAATGGCGTGTGCATCAAATTTTGCCAAAGACTCGCCAAAACGGCTACGGAAACCTATTAAATGCTCAAGCAAGCATTTGGGGAGTCCGCAATGGGTCGTGCACAAACTTTTGTGTGGCATTCACGTTTTAAAAATGGCCGAACCTCTGTCGATGATGACGAGCGTTCTGGACGACCATCTTCGAGCACAACGCCCGAAAATGTTACGAAGATTCGGCAGGCCATTCCCGAAGCTCGACGTCGTACCATCAACGACTTGTGCGACCTTGTTGGGATAGGCTATGGGACCTGTCAGCTGATTCTAAAGGAAGAACTCCACATGCGACGCATCATGACAACGCGCCAGCGCACACCGCCCTCAAAGTTCGCCAGTTTTTGGCCTCAGACACCATGGCCGTCATTCCGCACCCTCCTTATTCGCCGTGTGCCTTCTTCCTCTTCCCAAAGATGAAAATTCAGCTAAAGGGAATGAGATTTGAGACGATAGAAGAGATTCAGGCAGAATCGCAGATGGTGCTTGACAGGCTGACAAAGAAAGATTTCCAGGGATGCTTCCAGGCTTGGCAGCGGCGCTGGGATCGTTGTGTTCACTCCTAGGGGAACTACTTCGAGGGTGATGGATGAATAATTCAATACCTGAGATAAGTGTACGGGTTTTTATACGCGCAGTCTGGAAACTTTCCGATCGCTCCTCATATGTATTTACAGGCGTGTTCATCAAGTGTTACAACTGACATGTTAACATCCATGTTTTTCAAGTTACACAGAAATTAGAATAACATCCACAAGATATAATTATATACTGAGTGAATAAACCATCACTACTAAGGCGAAACTGTTCTCTGTTATTAAATACAGCGAAAAAAAATTAAATAATTCGTTTAATATCTGGTCCAAAGGCGTATTAAAACAGAGCTTTTGAATATTGCTTTTTCCTACTGAAGAAATTATTATCACAAGATTTATGGTCTTACGCGAAGTGATCGTTAAATTTTCCTCTCTAAATGAAAACTGAAATTACTCTCGACAATTTCCCATAAAATTCTGCAAAATGAAATTCAATCAAAATCGGTTTATCCATTCACGAGTTTATTCAGATTGATGGATAGAGCTATAAAGCGATTTTAACGCACCTTCCGTGGGGTTGTGAACGCATCTAGCTAGAACTTACATTCATTGTTACAACCAAAATATTGTGTACGAAGACTTCCCTTTGAAATCGTTACAGTTGGTCCATTCGTTTTAATTTTTGTTCATTTTTTTATACACTGGTCATTTAACATCAGCAAACGAAAGGAAGTCATATTGTATCAAGATGCCCATCGTCTGAATTGTAGTTTGCCAACGTTTCAGAGATGTTTTGTTCCTCCATCATCATGGCGATGGTCGCGACGCACTAAACAAGATGACAGCTAGCTTCGTATTCGGCGACGCGAGAACTTGAAATCTCACTTCATAGACTATCAGCCAATCGCCATCACAGAACACGTCTCTCATTAAACATTTCCGAAAACACTAGGCATCAGGGTGAGAGGAATTGAAACGTGGTGAGAAAGCATCTTTAAAGAATATATAATAAACACAACCGTGGTATTGTAACAGTGTTGTAACGTTTACAACACGGGTTGTAGAATTCAAATGGAGACAATAAATACAGGGCAGGTTCTTAAAACAGTTTATTCCCTCTCTGTATTAACGTAATAACAATAAACACGAGAAATACAATTTTCTGTTGTAGTGAAGCGATCATTTTTAAGTTAAGTACTTTAGGTTAGATGGTTTTGTAATCTAAGTGTTGGTTGATTTTGAGTGGGATATGTTGTTTTGTTGTGTCTTATTGTTTTTGTTGTGTCCTTTTTTATTGTTTTGTTCTGTCTCTGTGTTGATGTATCTCATTGTTCTGTTGTGTCTCATTGTTTTGCTGTGTCTTATTGTTTTTGTTGTGTCCTTTTTTATTGTTTTGTTCTGTCTCTGTGTTGATGTATCTCATTGTTCTGTTGTGTCTCATTGTTTTGCTGTGTCTTATTGTTTTTGTTGTGTCCTTTTTTATTGTTTTGTTCTGTCT